TTTAGGGTTTAGGGTTTAGCTGGATTTCCAGAACCCGCTCAAAACCTTAGCGAAGCCTTGGCCCCTTGGGAAGAGGTTCCTTGGGCTCAAAAGAGTTCTTATGGGGTTCATAGAAATTGGGTAAAGGCCCGATTCATGCGGATTTTTCCATAACAGAGTCCTGAATAGCTACACTATGGCAAGTTCTATACTACAAGTATGCTAGGGAACACTGAAAAGACGATCAGCTACTAAACTTCTTCAAACGCCTACATTACAACGACCCCATACAACCCCCATGCAAACCCCTAAACCCTAATCCCCTAAACCCCGAAACGCCCGAAACGAACACTGATAGATCCTTTTGTGCTCCCTGAAGGAAAGAATCCCGAAAAGGATAAGACCCTAAACCCCGAAACTCCAAAACCCTCCAGGTCCCATACAGGACCCTTGGAGAAAGAACCCCTTAAAGAACCCTTATAGAACCCCTGAAGAAAGAACCCCTTAAAGGACCCTGAAAGGACCCTTAGAGAAAGAACCCCTTAAAGGACCCTTACAGGACCCCTAGAGAATCCCCTAAATTCAGAAAATCCTAAGATAGGGGCCTTAATAATTAGAGTAGTGTCTTGGGGCCGATTAAGGTATAAATATAATAAACGGCCTTAATAATTGGAATCGGGTTTTGGGGCCCATTATATTATAGATTTATAAAAAGGGGCCTCAATAATTAGAATAAGGTTTTGGTTCTCATTATATTATAAATCGAACAAGGAACCCCCAAGATAGTATTGGTAGTTCTTTAGGCCCTCATAGAACATGTCCGGGCGGCGGGTCTCGAAGAAGGAAATCACCGTCTGGCAGGCCACGTCGAGCATGGCCGGCTGGTGGGCCCTGTGGAAGACTCCCAGCTTTTTGGGGTTTAGGGTTTAGGGTTTAGGGTTTAGGGTTTAGGGTTTAGGGTTTAGGGCTTAGGGTTTAGAGCGTTCAGTCTGGCCAGGGTTTAGGGTTTCGGGCACCTCCGAATCAAGGACTTGTTGTCGGGAATCCCCGGTATGGTAAACTCCGGCGAGTCTTGGGGGTGAGCATTTGTCATTACGGTCCACTGTACAATCGGAATACAGACCTGTGAGGCAGCGCCAGATTTTCGAGTACAGAAGCACAAGCTTGAAACTCGACGAACCTCTCCAAACCCAAACCCAAAATGCGAAGTCTGGCAAAATCCACTGCCTGCCAATCCAACTGGGGCAACTATGAAGCAGGGGCTCGGATTCCCTCATGTCCCCTCGGTCCGTCAACCTGCACCCAAAGGTTCCGTGCAAACGGGTTTATCAGGTTCAATAAGGCGGGTTTAGGGTTTAGGGGCTTTGGCGTCTTATAAGGGGCCAATGGAGTTGGCAAGGATGTCACAGGGATGTTCCCGCAGGGTGTCACAGGGATTTTGCAAGTCTTTCGATGCTCAAGGGCCGAGGTTTTTGGATTTCCTTTGTGCACCTGACACTCATGCCAGATGCCAATCATCAACAACCAACCTCTCAAACCCTAAACCCTATAAGAAACTCCATCAGCTCTATAAGAAACTCTGTCAGCTCTATCAGAAACTCGATCAGC